AATGTAATAATTAGCAAAGATTAAAAATTATAACCATAATAGTCTTTACAAGAGAAAACTATTAAGAAATTTATATAACAAATATAGGTATAATAATATTTATATTGTGTAAAAAAATAATAAAAATTAAATTTATTCGCTTAATTAGACTTAACACAAATTATAAAATTTCTAATAATGTTAATGTTAATAAAATTTAAAATGCGACTTAAAAAAGTTTATAACAAAATAAAGAAAACAATTTTTAAATCGGAATGGTGCAAATATTACTTTAAACTTTTTCTGAACGAACCGATTTGACTTCCTTGATTTTATTATATTTGGATAATAACTTAAACAGCAATAATTTTAAATATTAAGAATTTATGAATTTCTGTAAAATTACTGTACGTGCTCTCCCGAACAGTAACCATTTATTTCTTGATACAACTTCACCAGCCAAGAGACTTGATGTCATATTAAATAAAAATTTTAATAATGAAAACTTATTTTTAAAAAATTCTTTTAGTTTCCATACAGAAATTTCCATTTTCTTACTTGAAAGCTACTGTATTAAAGCTACTATATAAGATTTAAAGGCAAGATAGCATCTACACTGGGGTCTAGATAAATGCAATAATTATAATAAGATATCTTTTGAAATTATTATCTAATGAATTACACCATTTAATCCCAATAAAAATAATTATTAATTAATCTTAATGATTAGAATTAATAACTGGAGAATTAAAGAATATACTGTACACATACGGTCAAATCTCAGAACAACGGCCACTGAGAGGAACATAAGGCCGTTGTTCAACTTTATCTAATTTTTATAACATCTAATTAATTACAGTAATTTTATTTTATAAATATAAGTATTACTTCAATGTAATTTCATGCTTAATATAATTATGTACGTTATTAATTCTTAGAGCAAAATATGTCCAATATTTCATTGAAAGAGCAGAGCATTCACGAAACTTTTGTCTATTTTAGCACAATGTCTATTTTATTCTATTTTATAATTTTATTTTATTAAAGAGACTATTATATTTTATTTTATCCACTATTTTATTCTATTTTATAATTTAATATATTCCAATTAAGGGCCAGATTTGTATTCATGTGCATATTTTTTCCTTGAATGCTATGATATTGAAACCTCGATAGAATCACGATTCGAATCCAAGTAAATCATACTCAGGTTGTCCGATAAAACATACTTAATATGCATTTTTAAAAACGCCTATGAAATATGCATTTATAATTTTTTTCTGGATATTTTGGAGATTTGACCATTTTCAGGATTAAATAATTCTTATAAACTTTATAATTTGTTTGCATGATGCAAGTGTTATTTATCAAGTGATTGTAGTCTGTTTTTGATATCTGTGATAAATTTTTTTTTACGCGTTTGAGAAATATCATTACTCCATTCAATTACAGATGATCGCGCGAAATTCAAATATTTTAAATTTTAATGTCTAAATCGCATTCTTTTAATCCAGTCATCTTCAAATATTTTGTAAAAAATTATATATAAAAGTAATGATCGATTAGATAAAATAGAAAGATAAAATTTTATTGAACATGTAATTTTATTCGTAATTGACTTGATTTCGCACTTTCTACATGAAACATTATTCTGATGCGTGTTTTGTGACGTTATCTATTGTCGCATGTTTTCCCCTTCCCATTTAAAAATATAAAATAAAATCTATTTAAAAATGCGACATAATAGACGTTAGTAATATTTGCTCGCAGGCGCAAGTACGTAAGCATTTCAACCTACAAATTTTAGTGTATATTACTGGCGCTTTTAACATGATAATGTTTATTTCAGATATGTTAATTAATGTGCATATAGCAGTACATACATCTGACATTTTTACGTGAATAAGTATGCGAGTGTATTGCGATTTTAAACGCATATAAATCCTGATATTAATTCTGATTATTGTGACTTTGAGGAATTCATCCTTCATAGAGCGCACTTTTAAAAAATTTACAATTCCGGGTCAAAACCGACAAGAATAATCTATGCAGCATGCATCTAATCCTTCTTATCGACTTTTTCTATCTCCAGTTGTATTAATTGTACCCGGTTTCCGATTTTTAAACCAAATGTTAAGAATTTCGCAGCGACTTACATGAATATAAAACTGAATTTATTTTAATATTTTTAGACAAGAGAGTTATTTAGCAATTGCCTTACGACAATTTTTCAATCGACGTGTAATTTTCCAATTGACTTTTACTAAACAGATCCATAACGGACAATTAATGATGCTTGAACCGAATTAATTGATGTTCGTGTGAAACTTTGTTATTTTTCTAAGATAAAAATAACAAAGAAGTATCAAAAATTTATAATATAATAATTTGAGTAAAAAATCAATTCTTTTTTAAAATACTAATTTAAAATCTAAGCGTATAACATATCTTTAGAATTAGTTTTGCAACTAGTTAAAACATATATTTGGAATTAAAGAGGATTTCAAATTTTACAAATTCTTTCCGCTTATCTTCTATAAAAGCGTTCGCATGGATTGGGGAGTGATGTTACGAGAAAACCAATGTAGTGAAGTACAAGGAGCGGGAGTAGGTAGTCCATAAATGTACAAAAGAGACTTTTTATAGAGATTTATCCGCTCTTACTTAAATCATCCTTTTCGATAATGATAAAATCTTATTCTATAAAATTATATTATCCACTAAATTGTATAATAGATTTATTTATTTAGAAGATAACTTTTACACATCTGTAAATTTATATATGTTTAATATCGTAGAGATTAAATAAAATGAATTTATGAATTTAAAATGTTAAAATATATTATGAAAAATTCAGATTATTTAAATCTCAACTAATAACGTTATATAGCCTGTTTATAGATATAACACACTTATTTAATGTATTTGTCATTGGATAAATGGGATCTATAGTTATAAGCTTGCTAGTGGACCACATATTCATGACAGGTTTGCAGAAAACCATTGAATTAACTTTATAATTATACAACGTCTTGTTCTATATATCCTTTGTATTCTCCTTTCGGCAATGACGATGCTGTTATGCATCCATAATATTATATTAATGTCATCGTGTTTATGAAGTCATTATAATAGTGTCACAGCTAAGATCAAACGTAACAGAAGTCAGATGTCAGGTTGTAATGTTACATCTACAGGTTTAGAATACTTTAAAATGTCATACAGTTTGTCAACTTAGGTCAGGTTTCTCACTTTATCGTTAAGAAGTGATTAAGTCTATCTAGAACATTGAAAATTTTCCAGAAATGGAAAAATATTTCTGACTATATATATATTAAAGTTAGATAATTAAATGCTTAAAACAAAATTTTAAAAAGGATTAGGCAGATAAAGTAGCAGAATTTAAATGTAGCCTATTGTATAATGTAGAATACTATATATAAGTTTTAGGCTATTCTATTTACATTTTATACTCATTATATATAAAAATTCAACTTCGTAGTAAAATTTTATCTCAAGTACAATGAAATATCACATCTAATAGCTTGATTAGAATGGTAGACTATAGATATTTAGGCCTATCTCAATTTTAAACACCTTCATATTTATCCGTTGTAAAATTAAAGATATGGCATTAAATTGACGTAAAGGTGCGGCTACCCCCACAAAACGAACAGATGAACAAGATCACGTTGTGTTATCTGGAATGAAAATAAACATTCGCTTGTTCGTTAGAACTAAGTGGTAAGGAATCCAAGGAAGAGGAGTTCAATCCCTTTTCCTAGAAGAAAAATAAAAAGAAGTGTAGAACAAACTCTAATGTCTATAAGAATATTCCTCTTTATTCAATCCTATAAGAATATTATCTTATCTTACAAAGTCTTGTCTTTTTTTAGGTTGTTTCTTATAAAGAAGATTATATGAAAACACAATTTTCTCCATAAGAAACAACTGAAGTAGTCAAAGGGAATTTAAGAGCTGTAACTCTCCTTATAAAAAAAGTTTTAATGGAAAAAAATTAAATTTTCTTTTATCCAATTTTAATTTAAATATAATAAATTTTAAAAAATGTAAACATTTTTTAAAATCGGCCACACTTGTATTAATAAAATATAAAAACATATGACAGCTGTAGTTTATTTACTAGCCTCTAGCAAACTCAATTCCTGACTACGCAATTATAAGAAATATTTTAAAATCACGTAAGACTTTATAATAAAAAATAAGTAATTGTAAGGTTACAAACAAATAATAGTATCAAAAATAATGTTATAGATTTAATTAATAGGAATGTTCTTAGGTTGCGACTGTGCAAACGCGAGCGAGCGAGAATAGACTATGTGGCGAGAAGAGGCGAGACGCGATAAATATCAAACCCTATCAGATATGTGCGAGAACCAGAAACTCGCTCACACCAGCGAGATTTCTCGTTTTTCGCTTGTACACGTTTTCCTTTGCGAGAACTATATCGCTTGCAACTAAATTCGCGTCTGCATAGTCGAACCCTAATTGTTTAAAGAAACATCCTATTCGGTTTTTCTCGCTAATCTCTTAAGAACTTCGATTGTTTCTATAATTTGTTTTTATTTAATGCAAATATTTCCATTAATTCTTATTTATGGAGAAGACCGAGAAACAAGGTCGAAAATAAGCTCGAGCGTAGTCCTGGCTTCGGCATTTTTGAGCACATGCTTCTATATCATAGAGAATCGTTCTTCTGAATATCTAAAAAAAATATTTATTTAATTCAATGAAAAATGTTTATAATTATAAAGGGTAATTATTTAAAAATTAATTAAAATATTATTTGTAATTTTGTAGTTATTTAAGAAAAACTTCCGATAACGGAATTGTTGCATTTAACTCATTCGGTTTTTCAATATTTATCTTCTGTTTTAATATTAATCTAAAGTAATTTTACAGTCGAGCAGTAATGCAATTATAATAGAGAATTTTAATCATTTTTCAACAGCGTAGTAAACTTTATATACGTCAACGTTAAGCGTATCACGTGATGCATCGCCCGATATTACAGTGTCGCCATCTGTGAACCATTTTCCGATATTCGTAATATGTTACTCGTCTGGCTCTGAATGAAATGGTTTTATTCAAATATTTGACAATTTCTCTATTGAGGAGAAGAAATGTAAGTTCGTCATTGATAATTTTAATAAATAATAATTGTGTGGATTTGTTTAACGCGCAATTCATATTATATTTTCATTTTTCAAAGTAAAGAGAATCCTTGAGAAGAAAATATGGATTCAATCGTCATTTCTTTAAAATATTTGACTTTTAAATATATTTTTTAATTAAAATTCTAATTAAATATTATTGACAATCATTGAATGATTCTGCACGTAAGTAGTTCAATTTCCTCATACCTTTGCATCCATGATGAATTTTTTTAATTGCATAATTCTTACTGTGCAATTATTAAATGTATACCAATAATTACATAAAATACGCCAACAATTACATAATATACACCAATAATTATACAAAAAGACACCTTTTCCTTTAATAATGCAAAGTGTTTGATAAAAAAGTCAATTTTTCCTCCATTACACACAATTATTATCTTCAGCCATTAATTAATTTATTCACATATTTACAAATACAGTATTCCATCCGTTGAATGTTATCAATAGGGTGATGTCTTGATTTTTTGGGGATTGACCCTACTTTTGCTTGTTTTTAATATTGTACAAACAAACTTTAAATAGAGTTATTTTACTAAAGCATATAATGTCACCAATTTAGAGATCAATAAATAAATGAATTTTAAAAAATAACCAAAGTTTAATCAGTTTTAGACTCTTATTTTCACTGATTCTGCAATATGTCCTTATTGGATTCCGAATGATATGGTTCACTTATTTTCAACCTACAAATAAACTATTTAATATGACAATAGTGTGTAATTACAATATTGTGCTAATTCCTATATCTAAGATTTTCAAAATTATTCATGAAATAACTAATGTAAGCTTTTATCATTCTGCTATGTACAGTACTTAAATGTAAAATTATTTTTATAAAAACAAATACAAGTACTAATTTGCCTTTTTAAATTATAAAATTAAAGTTTACGGTTTTGTTGTTATAGATTTAGAATTTCACAAATTATTGATAAAATATTATTAAGTGCCAAAACATATTTTGTAACAAAAATTTCTTGTTTTATAGTAATTAGATTATCGAGGTCTTATTCTGAAATAACAAAAATTACTTTTCATTCTCTCAAACTGCAAATATTAAGGAAATATATAATAAAACTGCATTACGTGGATTAGAGATGTTTGGAAATTATTTTAAGCTGATTGCATTTTATAAGTTAAATTGTTATTAAATTTTGAATTTAAGATATTTAAAGTAAAAAATATTATTATTTATCACTGTTTAAAATTAATATTTGCATGATGCTGAAAAATAATAAAGTCCCAATGTTCAATAAATACAAAAATATTTCTTCTTAAACCTGTATTTATTAAAAGAATAACAGAAATTTTGTAAGTTTATGATTAAATTTTATTTTATAGTTTTAGAAGAAATACAGTATGTAAACATTACTGGTTATAAAATGTTTTTCAGTCCTTGTTAATAGCAGGACTGTTGGGATCTTGTATAGGGTTTAGAGTTAGAACAGATTCCTTTCAATATTATTATTATTTTTTTGAACAAATGAAGTATATAGATGTTTACTTATTAAAAACAGTTTTAAGGATTTTATTTTTTGTTAATAAAAACAATATTAATTTATAGGAGTAGAAACTACTATGGGTCTTTAAGTTTTTTCTGGGTCCAGGGAAAAATCTCCAGCTGTTGATGGCCCTGTTTAATATTTATTCCTTGTACAGAGTGACCTAAGAAATGAATACACACTTTGATTGTTAATAACACTCTTTTTATTTTCTTAATTTTAAAATAAATATTATAACATTAAATTTAGATCTAAATTATAAAATTATTAAATTAAAATTTAGAATTTAACAATCATTGTGTGTATACATTTCTTTTTTTCTTTGGGACACCCTGTAGTTGGGAATATCTAATAACTATTTCCTGTAGTTCAATTTACGTCAATGAAGCATTATTAAGTAGCGTTACTTAAAAACATTGAGGTAATGTCAGTTAACTATGCTTATTGATATAAATTATAGTTCCTGCATGTTCTGCAAATATTTATAATTAATTATAGTTTTGTTCTTGTATCAAGCCATTTAATGCTATATAATAAACTGTTATATTATATTCTGATTTTGTTATGAGATGTATTATTTATATTTTTTTTCTAAACAAATTTTAATTAATTTTATTTACATATATTTATATTCTGTATAATTTAAAATTAAAGTGTATATTAAAATTTTGCTTTTGATTACAGTTAACACAAATATTTAAATTTAAACATTTTAATATTATTTGTATAGATAAAGTAAGGATAACAAGATTGTTTGTTGAACAAATAAGATAAAATATCTAACAAGTACTTTTATCAGTTTATCCATTATAAGCAATTAGTTAATCAGTAATACTAACATATTTGTTGTTTTTACAGTGTTATGGATTATACCATCATGTTCAATGGCTCTCTATGCCTACAAAAACTTTTAAGGTATTTTATATTTATAAGATTATATGTTAAGTTTCCATTGGATTAAACCTATAAACCAAAAATAATCCAATACTAACACAAATTTAATGCAGCTTTTTCATTAAACTTTTTAAAAACTATTTACTTTTTTTACTTCTTTACAAATTGTTACATTTATTTTTAACTTAAGTTTTATAAATTTTGATAATTGTTTTGAGTTTATAATTGAATTACAGTATTTAATTTTTTAATTTCAGTACATTATTTTTTGTTATAAAAATACTTTAGTACATTTTACAAAATTTAAATAACTTTGTTCTGAATTTACTGAATTTGTTTGTTGATCATGTTAAGTATAAATATTTAATGATTTTTATAAATGTTTTTTTTTTTATAACTAAATTATTTTCTTGAAACAGCTTAAGTTATTTGCCTTTTGAATACCAAAGGAATTTAGTTTTATAGAATAATAGATTTGAAATATTAAACTATCAACAAAATTTATAAGTAATTTAATATATTTGTTTGTTTCTTAATTTTTTAAATATATGTTCAAATCTAATCACACTGTATTAATTCATATCATAGTTTTAATTATGAAGTGATTAAAGTTTGAATTTTTTCAAAATACATTAAAATTTCATAATCATTTTTTATTAATGTAATTTTAATTTTTTTATCCTAGAAAATCAAGATAAAATTGTTTATAAACAAATATTATTTAATTTTAATATTAATTTGTCTTCCAAATTCCTTGATATTAATTTGTCTTCCAAAAACGTCTTAAAATTTGAATATTTTGAATGTCATTAGTTTTTAAAAATTTAAATAATATTTTATTGTGCTATATAGAATAATTTAAAAATTTGACTTGTAAATAAAAATGAAATAAATCTGATAAAAATTTTCTGAATCAGATTACCATGAAATATAATATAAACAAAATAAATATATAAATTTATAAAGAGAATTTATAATTGGATACCTGAAAATACCTTAATATTAAGAGAGAAATAAAAATTAAATTTTATTTTGTTTTATTTTATTTTAAAATAATTTAGTCAGTTTTAAATTATAAATATCATAAAGGTATTTACATATAATAATGTAACAAATTCACATAAAACTGATGGTAACTGCAACTAAATTATGTCAAAGAATGTAATGCATTTGTTTTGATACATTATTTTGATTATATTACACTTATTTTGATATAATATAAAGCTAAAATTAGTCTTCATATTTGAAAAATAAACTTTAGGATTAGCAAAATGAAAAATATACTGCTCTAGATCAAATAGAATATACTTAAAAATGCTTAACTATTTTTAAAACATTTATGAGAATTCATTGAATATATAACATAATAGAATAACTATCTAATCCAGCAGTAGAATTTTCTAAAATTCCAAATTCAACTTCTGCTTGATATTAATTTGTCTTCCAAAAACATCTTAAAATTTGAATATTTTGAATGTCATTAGTTTTTAAAAATTTAATTTTTAATTGCTGACTTGCCTGATGCATGAGAAGAGTTTCGTACTTTTTTCCCCCTCTAGAACTTGGACAGCATCCCAAATTGTTTCATTTATTGTAAAATGTTAACCACCAAGAAAATTCTGTAAGAAACTAAAATAGAAGGGATATTGGGACTATGATGATACAGTTTAAAAAATTTTATTTCATTATTACTTAACTAATTTTCAAATTAGAAATTAATTTTGCTTAACTACTTTTATAGCCATTTATCAAATGCAGTTTCAGACATTGTTCAGATGCTCATGACTCAATGCTGCCAATTTTGAATCATCTTTCTTTATCAAATTTTTAACAAATATGTCTAAGAATCAGTTGCTCTGTTTGTTAAATGTTGATTGATGCATAATAAATTCTATATAATTATCATGTATTAGTTATTCATTGCAAAAACAAAGAATATTTTTGAACTGCTAATTGTTTTTCTGAATTGTATTTTGAAGTCATCTGTAAATTTTTGTCATTTTATGTCTTCTGCAACCAACAAATGATTGTTATTTTGTGTTTGTTTTATAAGCATATAATATAATTAATAATTTCATTTGCATGTATGCATCAATTTTCTGCAAAAAATCTTTCAATGGAAATTAAACAGTTGGGTATAATAGTAGAATAAACTATTGTTACTTCATAGTTATAACATCAGTTTGTTATTCTATATATATTTATGCTTCTGTATATTAAGTAAACAATACACATTTTTAATTAAATAATTTTACATATATTCAAACAAAATAAAATAAATCTAAGTGAATTGTAAACTTTTACTGGGATTAAAAAATATTTTTTTAAAACTCTAATAATAGCTTTAATAATAATAATACTGAAACAATAATGGAACAATGCTAATGGTTTCAATATTCAAACAAGAAAACTTTTAGTTGAACACACTAATAAGTTCAACCAAAGGTTCTTGATTATGTACTACTAGTTAACATACAAAAATATTTTATTAACATTTTAATCATTAATTTATTATACAAATTTTTATTTTTATTACTAATTTATGATATTTAGATTAGTTAATTTTTTTTTTTGAAAAATTTAAATATAATTCGGCATCATAATTTAATTTTTATATTAATTTTAGAGTTTTTTTTTGTTCAGTTTACAGATTTAGAAGTTATTCATGCTAAATCATCTCAATTAAATCCTAAACCAGATCCAAACCATTTGGTATTTGGAAGANGTGTATCTCCAGTAGGGTTGAACTTAATGACAAATTTACTCATTATTAACATTTACAGTTTTTTATAAAATCCATCCCTATCTTCAAAATTAAGCTTTTAGCTGTTTTATAATAGTTAAAAACATAAAATGTTTTTAAATAAAATATGATAACAGATGGCACCACCAAAATTTTAAATGTTGCTGGGAAAGTTGAGCAACTTGTTGCTGTGTTTGATCATATGAATCTTTTATATGATATAATATAGTTACTTCATTAATGACTGATACAGTATAGAAAATTATAAAATACAGTGAAACCTCTATATTTGTCATTAATTAATCTGTTCTTAAGGATCTAACAAATTGGAAAATGACAGATATAGAAACAGTTTTTCCCATAATAAATAACTGATATTCAATTAATTCGTTCCCATCCTAAGAAAAGATACAAGAATAAAAATTTTGTTGTTTGTAAAACTTTATCTTTATTGTACTAAATAAATACAGTATAGTGGTAGAAGGGGAAGAAGAGTAAGGTTATTATTGTTTAGAAGAAGATATATCATCAATTAAAACATTAGGTAATTTCAATTATGATCTTGTCATATTAAATTCTTTGGCTAAGTTGGAAACACTAGAGAGGTTGCGGCCAAAGTTTTCATCTCTAAAACATGAACATCGAACGTTGACTGCCACCATCTTGTAAGCCTAGAAGTTTGACAATGGCATTTGGAATGTCAAGCATTATTCCAATGACGTTCCAAATGCCATTATCAAACTTCTAGGCTTACAAGATGGTGCTCAACATTTAATGTTCACATTTTAAAGATGAAAACTTTGGTTGCAACCTCTCTACTATGTCCATTTTTAGACTTAGCAATAATTTTTTTATCTCTATTGTTGTTCTAACAACTTTTCTTTTTTGCTGTTTTTCTTCGGTGCACTTTGTTGGAGCCATTGGGACTTTAGGTTTTGAAAATAATCAATGTGAGAAACCAAGAACACACACAATGACTGCACAAAGCAATCTGATTAACTACAGCAAGCTGACAGTGTTGCCAACTCAAAATTCAAATTTATAGCTAGACATTTTAATAAAAATATTCAAATCATATTGTTTCCATTAAAATTGCTTGATTTTTTTTTTTTTTTATATCTAGATAACATTATAAAAATAGCTAGGTCATTATAATTTAGGTAATTTGCATAGCTAGATTGTTCATAAATCAACTAAATGTAGCAAAAATTAGGTAAATTGGCAACACTAAGCTAACATGGCTAGCTGATCTACATGGGCGTGCGATTGTAGTGCCACTGCCGGTGTTGTGAATGATGATGAATATGGGGGGGAAGTCATCAAAATGTGACAAATATCGAATATTACGAATATAGAGGTTCCACTGTATCACATTTGTGTAATATTTTAAACATAATAAAGAAATCAAAAAATTTCTGAAGATAAAAGATTTCTAAAGAAATATTTAAAATGTATATATTTTTATATAAAGTATAACTTTAAATACAAATACTTTTATAAATATTTGTTCTTGAAGTACAAGCTTAAATATTATCAAATGATAGGAAAATATTATATTAATGATACTACATGCAATCAGGACTGTGGAGTCGGAGTCAGGAGGAATTTCTGGCCAGAGGAGTTGGAGTCAGGAAAAATGTGTTGACTCCTCCTCCAACATTTTAAATTTAATTTAGTTTTTTTATTTAAATGAAAGAAAATTTATTTTATATTTATTAACTTTTTAAAACGTTTTTGTATTTTGTTATAATTCATTTATTTTAAATAAAAAATGCAACAATTTAATTTATTAAATATGTACAGTTTTCTTTGTAGTATTTATGTTTAGTAGTTAAATTATTTTGACTGAATTGAATCTCAATATTTTTGATTCATTCCTTTATTATTCCCACTCTAAATAAGTATTCTATTTTTCTGAATGAACCAGACTAATTGATCAGAGTATATATTTTTCTTTTCTGAACAAGGGGCTGAAGTAACTAGATTGCACACTTTTTAGTTGGACTAACTTTTCTGGAAAGATGAAATTGAAGTGCAGAAGCTGTAGAATAAAGATATGTAGATGTAGAATTTTATTGCTCCTTTATAGCTTTTTCCTCTCATTAAATATTTGTTAAAAATTAATTTTTTTATACAAATAAATATTAATGTAAGTTAAATATTAAAAATACTAACTATAAAAGTATTTGGGTAAATGTCTGGGGCTCCTTTCAGAGTTCAGAGTAGGATAATCCCCTATGAGTGCCTCTGCTCCCCCATAAAATGACTTGGTATTTAATTTTGCCAGTTGGAGTTGGCCTGATTATCAAGAGTCTGAGTTGGAGTTGAGTGTTTTTTACCGACTCTGCAGCCCTGCATGCAATCCTAAAGATTAAAAAATTAAAGTAGCTTATGTAATACATACAGTTTTGTATAAATTTTGCTTTAAGTTTTTGTTGAAGTTGAATTGTAAAATATATAATTTTAAGTAGCTTCAATAGAAAATTTGGAATAAAGTTTGGTTTTCTTTAATATTAAAATTTTAAAAAAGAAAGTAAAAAGCAAATTTAATAATTACTTCATTAACAACAGATAATAGTGATACAAAACATCTACTGTATGTACTAAAATAAATAAATCTTTTTACATAATAGTTATTTGATGGAGAAGAATTAATAAAATGCATGAAAAAGTTAATATCTATTGATAAAGATTGGGTTCCTAATCATAGTTCCAGTTCATTATACATTCGTCCAACTATGATAGGTATTGAACCATCTTTAGGAGTGGCTTCAGCTAATAAATCCTTATTATATGTTATAACTGGGCCTGTTGGACCATATTTTAGCACAGGAGTTAAACCTGTTTCACTGTTAGCTGATCCTAAATTTATACGTGCATGGCCAGGTGGAATTGGAGACAAGAAAGCAGGATCGTAAGTTGTATTTATTGTCAATAACTTTAATTATTTTAAATATTTTATCTATTTCTTTTTTATTTAATTAACATAAAATTAGTTTTTCAGTGTAATGATTAATCTTTTAATATTGTATTATATTATTATTTTAGAGAGAAGGATTCAAAATTTTTATGAATCTTTTTCTCTAGTTAATGACTGGAATTTTAATGTTTTTACAAATATGATTATATTGATTAAATTGTATTTTGAGGAGTGGGGAGATAATGGGGGTTGTGTGTATTTCCAGTAGGGTNTATTTTGTTTTATTTTATTTTAAAATAATTTAGTCAGTTTTAAATTATAAATATCATAAAGGTATTTACATATAATAATGTAACAAATTCACATAAAACTGATGGTAACTGCAACTAAATTATGTCAAAGAATGTAATGCATTTGTTTTGATACATTATTTTGATTATATTACACTTATTTTGATATAATATAAAGCTAAAATTAGTCTTCATATTTGAAAAATAAACTTTAGGATTAGCAAAATGAAAAATATACTGCTCTAGATCAAATAGAATATACTTAAAAATGCTTAACTATTTTTAAAACATTTATGAGAATTCATTGAATATATAACATAATAGAATAACTATCTAATCCAGCAGTAGAATTTTCTAAAATTCCAAATTCAACTTCTGCTTGATATTAATTTGTCTTCCAAAAACATCTTAAAATTTGAATATTTTGAATGTCATTAGTTTTTAAAAATTTAATTTTTAATTGCTGACTTGCCTGATGCATGAGAAGAGTTTCGTACTTTTTTCCCCCTCTAGAACTTGGACAGCATCCCAAATTGTTTCATTTATTGTAAAATGTTAACCACCAAGAAAATTCTGTAAGAAACTAAAATAGAAGGGATATTGGGACTATGATGATACAGTTTAAAAAATTTTATTTCATTATTACTTAACTAATTTTCAAATTAGAAATTAATTTTGCTTAACTACTTTTATAGCCATTTATCAAATGCAGTTTCAGACATTGTTCAGATGCTCATGACTCAATGCTGCCAATTTTGAATCATCTTTCTTTATCAAATTTTTAACAAATATGTCTAAGAATCAGTTGCTCTGTTTGTTAAATGTTGATTGATGCATAATAAATTCTATATAATTATCATGTATTAGTTATTCATTGCAAAAACAAAGAATATTTTTGAACTGCTAATTGTTTTTCTGAATTGTATTTTGAAGTCATCTGTAAATTTTTGTCATTTTATGTCTTCTGCAACCAACAAATGATTGTTATTTTGTGTTTGTTTTATAAGCATATAATATAATTAATAATTTCATTTGCATGTATGCATCAATTTTCTGCAAAAAATCTTTCAATGGAAATTAAACAGTTGGGTATAATAGTAGAATAAACTATTGTTACTTCATAGTTATAACATCAGTTTGTTATTCTATATATATTTATGCTTCTGTATATTAAGTAAACAATACACATTTTTAATTAAATAATTTTACATATATTCAAACAAAATAAAATAAATCTAAGTGAATTGTAAACTTTTACTGGGATTAAAAAATATTTTTTTAAAACTCTAATAATAGCTTTAATAATAATAATACTGAAACAATAATGGAACAATGCTAATGGTTTCAATATTCAAACAAGAAAACTTTTAGTTGAACACACTAATAAGTTCAACCAAAGGTTCTTGATTATGTACTACTAGTTAACATACAAAAATATTTTATTAACATTTTAATCATTAATTTATTATACAAATTTTTATTTTTATTACTAATTTATGATATTTAGATTAGTTAATTTTTTTTTTTGAAAANCGAAAATTTCTTGGGTTTCTCAATCCCGGATACCCCAGAGCGGTGGGATTCCGCCTTAGCCGCTCGGCCTCCGTCCTCTGTCATTGATCTATCATTAATATAATTATCCCGTATAGAAAATTTTATAAGCTTATTTTCTACGCTTTTATACTTTATTATATTAATAATAATTATAAAATTCATACGACCTAAACGGGAATGAATCACAAGAACAACGCATCACATTAAAATTCACGTAGGTCACATTTTC